TTTTGTTTGTTTGTTTATTTGTTTTTTTCTGGAAAAGGATTCTGGATGCTCCTAAAAGCCTTTTTTCTCAAATACTTTAAAAATAAAATAAATTAGGGTTAATGATAACTTCCATTCCACTACTGACGAAATTCTAACGAACTATTTAATGGAGGAAGGATTTGAATTTTTTGTACAATTTGGCGCTCCATTGACTTTTTTAATGTGTATGGTGTTTTTGAGGCCCATTAAATTTTCAGAGGAAGAACCRTTCCCAAGACTTTGTCTGTTTCAGCAATAGATTGTTGAAAATTTACTTCTAAAGTATCTCTATATGTGCAAAAACCCCCCACTTTCCTCTCTGGTCAAAATGTCTCTCTGTTAATAGAAGTGTTTCCTACCCTTCTAGGGTTTGGCATCGTGCAGTAGGTTGTTTTAGCCAGCAATGTGTTGTGTAAGATCCATTGCAGTTTTGCAAATGCCTTACTAAGAATCTGGATTGAACTGGCAGAGGATGCGTCCTCTKAGCTTTTAATAGCACTTAGGCAATTACTTATTTTAAGATAGCATTAATAATGTAACAATTGGGTTTTATTTATAGAAATATATATACATAAATGAAAGGAACTTATAAACTCACTCAGCGCTGCTAACAGTTGCCAAAACTTCCTTCTAATACTTAGCTATATTTTTAGGGACGATCACAAGAGGGCAGTGTTTTTTATAGCTTTACATTTTATACAAAGGTGGAACTTCTGGCATTATTTTACCTACAGTCAGTCAAACATTACAGTAAATATAGGGCCTATGTTAAATAATTTAAATTACGAGGGTTCTTATTAAGTTGTGCATCAGTTTTTGAAGGAATGCTTTTAAATATATTCTGGTTTGTTGATTTTTTTCTTTCCCCCCCCCCCACTTCTTATCATGGAGGTCAAAGCTAAAAGGACTACATTAAAAGGACTACATTTGCTGTTAAATAGGGTATCTCTGGATCTTGCAGGATTTCACAAATAATTTTCCAGTTGTATTCTGCCAGGCACTATTCATTAATAGCCATAAAAATATAGGTATCTGGTCTGTAAAATACAGTGTATTAGAATGCTTCTAAATATAAACAAGAACATTCTCTAAATGCATSTGTTCAATTGCTCTGCTCTAATTTTGGCAGAGAGGATATAGGTAAGGTATGTTTCAGCATACTAAAAAAAGTATGTACATTTTTCATGCTTRTTGTTCTGTGTGTGTCCMRAATGGGTAAGGTTGGAGGGCACTAYGGTCTCCCTGCTCAAGCAGGGATGTCCTAGAGCACATGGCCCAGGATTGCATCCTGCTGGTATCTGAACATCTCCAGTGATGAAGACTCCACAGCCATTGCTCTCTGGACAATCTGTTCCAGTGCTCCGTCACCTGCACAGTAAAGAAGYTCTTCCTCATGTTCAGGTGGAACTTCCTGTGCATCAGWTTCTGCCCATTGCCTCTTGTCCCATTGCTTGGCACCACTGAGCAGAGTCTGGCTCCATCATTTTGACATCTGCCTTCAGATACTGATAGACATTGATGAGGTCCCCTCTCTGTCACTTCTTGGGGCTGAACAGGCCCARCTGCCTTGGACTTTTCTGTTAAGAGAAATACTCCAGTGCCTTAATGATCTTTGTCACCCTCTGCTGGACCAGCTCCGGGAGCTCCATGTCTCTCCTTACTGAGGAGTCCAGAACTGGACCCAGCACTCCAGACACAGCCTCATTAGGGCTGAGAAAGGGACAGGAACACTTCCCTTGACCTGCTGGCATTGCTCTTCYTMATGCACCCCAGGATACCACTGGCCTACTTGTACCATTGACCATTGGTGTAATTGTAGCAAAACTTACGTAAAAATTATTTGTGCTGGGGAGTRACAAACATTTTGTGCGTGTTGTGTGAAAAGTGTTGCTTAAGGGTTTTTTACACTTGTCTTTCTACGGAATGGTTCAGTTCTGCTAGGGAGGGAAGTTGTTGCTAAATTGATATAAAAAGTTGATAAAGAAAGGCATGTATCTGCTGCCTTCTAAAATATCTTCCTGACTAGTCTTAGTCAGCACACAGTTTTGGTTTCTAAAAGGGTCATGTTTTCACATAGAGAATAATATCAGTTATTCAGTTATTGAATCAATTATATCGATTATTGCTGAGGAGCTGGCTGAGGAAACACATCTTTAAACCCAGCATATTTTGGTTACTGATTCATCTCCTTTCTAGTATAAAATGGCCATGAAAGTTGGTCATTTATTTTTTTGGAGGAAGAGTAATACCAGATTGTCTGTTTAGCTGTCTTTATTCACTATCAGTGTGTAAGATGACCTTAGGAAAAAGATTCAGGCTTCAGTGGAATGGAGGAGAGAACTGAAAACTTAATCCAAGCTACATGCTGTACATGTCTGCRGTTTTTATTATGGTTCATAAAATGGTGAACTTTTTGATTACACTTGCATAAAATTCATTAGGAATACTTACAAGCACTAGCTACTGAGTGGGAATCAGGTATGTGTAAGTGATCTGGACAGCACAAAACAGATAAAATTACTCTTGAAAACCAAAACAGAACAAATAGAGATATAGAGAATTAGACAGCTGTGTGATAACTAGCTTTTTTTCACATAACAAGTAAGTAATAGAATGGATGCTTCTTTCTGAACAGAATTGGATATATTTTATGCATTAATATTTTCAAGCAGTCCTTTTATTAAACAAAAATACAGTAGATGTTACTTTTAAAGCTCATATAAGTCTACAAAGAAGATTGCACTAGGGACAATAGGGCTTTTTTTAATCTCTAGGTTTAGTTGACAATTGGTATAGAGGATAGTAGCAGATTTTCTAATCAACAAAAGCCTAAGACATAAATGAACCACACAGTATATGCAATATATCTGCATTGCTGTGAAATAACACTAGGGCTTCCAGTTTATTGATAATTTGGTTTTGTTCTTGTTTGGTTATTGATTTAAAATAAGTTAWGTGTTTTCAGGTACATGAGAGAAAATTGGAGGGCTTGTTTTTATTAAGCTACATTTTTCAGCAATGCTTTACTCTGACTCCTTTATATTATTGGTTTGTGAAATTTATAATCCAAATGAGTCTTTTGAATGTAGGTGCTGATGATTTAACACTTTTTTCTTCAGCAAGTGTTAGATACTGTAAAACTGTTGTCTATTTCCAGTTGAAGTCTCTTGAAACACATCCAAGCAAACTAAAGCTAGAAACTCTGTCCATCRCAAAAATACAGATTTGAAAAGCGAAGAAAAGGACGAAAATAAAAGGGGAGATATGCTTACTAAAATCCTGTGCATTTGTGAGAGTGGTCAGAACGCATGAAATGGAAATTGAAATTTACACTGACAGTTCAAATCAGTAACACTCATATACTAACTTGCAAGTGTCTGGGTGTGTTGCCAGTCTCACCAGTGCTTGTCCTAAACCTTATACAGTAGCTATGTTGATTTCCTCTAGTGGTTATTTCAGAGTCTGGTCTCAACATACCTACTCACCAGACAGGAAATTCATCACCACTGGAATTGCTTGTATTCCACTGAATACAGAACTTTTTTTAAGATTTCTTCCCGTCCTGCTCTGCTGTCATTGTCAACTTCCACTCATGAAATATTAAGTCTTAAAGGCAGAATACAAGATAAACCTGTTTTGATTGTCTGCATTTRTCAGTATGTTTATGTAGAATGGAATAGAAGGATATCTCTTCAAAAAATGGATGTCTCTCTGACATCCTCTSTCTGTTGATTCTGGAGCTTTCTTTAAATTTGAAAAGTGTATCAAATTTCTAGGAATGTGGCTTAATACAAGCAACATGTAATAGGGTTAATAGTGTTGGAAGTCTACTCAGTGTTGTTATTCACAACTGCTTGAGTAGAAGTGTCATCTTTTATGTGTATGGCCTGAGGTTTACATATTGAAAAGATATTTCTGCARTGCTTTCCCCTCCTGTGCATAATTATTTATAGCTAACTTTTTTATCTGTCATTTATTTTAGGAAGATACTTGCATGTTTTCTAGTCAGAATTTGCAGTTGAAGGTGGAGATGTTACTTGTATAGATGTGCTTCTGTCACAGCAGTAATGGTGGCTTATACATTTTTTTGCCATGTCAGATGGCAAATACCTCATGTGACATTGGCAAGTTCCAAGTTTTTTGTACTTTTAAGTGAAGRAAATCATTACATAAATCAGAACAGGCCTTAATTAAATTGAGAATCCAAGTTGTGCCAGTTGTCATGTCAGTTAAATGACTATGGAAAACAAAATCTTTATGTCAGTTATGGTAATGTCAGTTTTTTTCTGCAAAACAATGAAAAATCTTTCCAGATGTCACATATATAAGATCCTTTAAATAGGGAGAAAAACATATTAAATAGTTTTCCTTTCTGGGTTAGAAAGGATTTTTTGTTTATTCTCATATTCCTTAGCAAAACACTGAAGCACTGAATGCCTTCAGTTGATAATGCAGAGATGCAGTACCTTGAACTAAGCAGAGCAGAAATTTTCCCAAAATGCGGTGAGGGCTGTGTACCTGTAAGCTCTTCTTTGGGCAGGCATGGTCCAAATTTGGAGCCTTTCCAAGGGCGTAAACATTTTCAGAGAAACCTAAAAACACTTAGGCCCCCGAAAAGTGATGGTGTTGTTTATCTAACTAAAACATTGAATTTACCAACTGCAGACTGCTACTGACAGGGCCAGATAATCTGATTTACCAGCACTTTACCCCACGTAGTAAAGACATCTCTTGATTGAGACTGACAAATTGAGTCATGCACAGCTTTGCAACTATGGGCTCTAAACACTGTTCTGCACAGAAAAAGTGTTTTTAATACATGTAGCAGGCATTAAGATAACAGGGCACTGGTTGGCACACACTGGAATCCGACTGCTAGCCCCTGTCACATGAGGATCCTTGCACTGGGAYTTGCAGGTGTAGGTCTCTTCCCCCTGGGGTGACTTTCCTAGAGGACRGTGCAGAGAAGTGCTGGGACTTCAGAGAAGCATCACAATGATACAGATCAGCAAGAGGCAGATTAAAATCAGGCAGAAATTCACAAAGAGCTCTTGGAGCCTTTGGCGTGCTTGTGGGTTGACCTCAATAGTTGAGGCTCTCCTCAGAGCAGAGCGGGTGATGTGTTGGACCTTCTCCATGGCAACAGGAAAGCAGAGGGCACAAATCAGAGATKTTAGGAGTGCAGGAAAGAAGAGCAGGGGTCAGGAGCAGTGCAAAGTGCCTAATATCTTCTCTTTTTGTTTTAGACAGCCTTTGTGGAGCTGGAAAGCAGGAAAGCAGAGAATTAGAAGTGCAGAAGTGTTTTTCTGAGTGCAAATTGAGATTGTTTTAAAGTTGTAAAAAGTCTGAAATAAATAGCTTCTACAGAGTTTTTAGATCAAAACAGGTTTGTTTTTTTTAAGTTTAGATTTGTGCTGTATTGTGCTTCTCCTCCTGAAGGCTACCAAGCACCTGCTTCTTAGCAGCRTTGAGTAACTGTATTATGGAAATTGTTGATATCTGGGTTTTGCCCAGATTATTGCTTTAGATCCCAAGCAYTCTATCTCTCACAGTCTGCGAAAAGGCTGTGCTGATTGCCTTCCCACACACACCCCTCTGCTTTATTTGTTCAAGCACATGTGGAAGCTTGATGATAAGAGAAGGGTCACAGACCTTTCAGCCAGGAGATCTGGATAGTCCTGCTGGCYGGTACTGACAGGGCAGATAATCTGATTTACAAGCACTTTTTATGGAATGGAGGAAAAGAAATCTCATTGAAGCATTTCCATTCCAAGTAAAAGTTCTTTGCGATGGGCAATTAAAATCTTACACAACACTGCTCTAGGGGATTTTAGTAGCATGTTTCTCAATAGACAAGACAGAGTAAGGGCTAAATCTTTTTTTATGCGTGTGTTACAAACATGGGTGCAAAGGCAGAGGACTGCTATGAGRAACAAAACTAAGCATTTACACAACTTTGTCTCTTAACTGAGTGTTACATTTAAAGTGTATTTTCTTCCTTTTTAATGGCAGATGGAAGGACAAAGTATCAGTTATCTTAAAACTCCCAATAAGTAGTTGCAATACAAAATCCTCCTGTACCTTCCTGAACCTTCCATGGCGAGGAGCTGCTTTGATATATGCTTGTTTAGCTCACGGTGAGTTGTRTTCTGAATGTGGGTGCTGTGACAACGTGAAAACTTGGTTTTCAAAATAATGATGATCTGTGCATCTGTCAAACTTTGTTCCTAAATCTGCACTTGCCACTAAATGTTTTATGAATTTGTACTGAGTTCGTATTTTTCACAGAAGACCTCTCCTTGTTGCAGCTTTTGTTTTTCTTGGCAATAAGTGGAATTATATATGCCACTTAAAGGAAAATAATTGCTTAGATGTCTGATGCCCAAATTACATGATGATCCTGACTGAATCAGAGATATTTTGTCGCCCGTGAATTTGTCTTTATATGGGGTTAAAATGGAAAAACCTTGAAAGTGTCTTTCAGGCTCTTCCCTTTTTAATCCCTCCTTGCTGTGCTGTAGAGACAAATGGTACTGTATGAACAAAATACATGTCTTTTCAGTGCCAGTGTTGGTACTTAAGAGAGGTTTTCAAAAGAAATCAGATTGCACATGGTTATTTTAATACCTTTAGAGGATTCCATGTGATGACATCTCCTAGAACTAAACTTCAGATTTTGTTATGATSTTTTGAGCCGTAGTTGATCTTAACTTTATTGCGAACAAAACATACACCAGGAACGTACTCTTGTAGCGACTCTAATTCGTCATCTTTGTTTGACTTTTTGCTGTACCTGTTTTCATCTATTTAAGCAGTTAAAATACTTGCCAAGTATATTCTGTTTAGCTCTTTGCTAGTCATGGTCTGTCCCCAGTGCAGTAAAAGCAAGACCTGCACAGAAATTCTCCRGTCTCTTGGCTGAATGCACATTCATTCTCCCAGCCCAGTACAGGCTGGAGTGTGTTAGACTGTTTATCTTCTTGCAGAYAAGTCTTGGTAGATGAACCACTAATGGATTTGCGTGGATAAAGAGTTTGTGTAACCAGCTTGTGTGACAGACACTGCCCAGAGAACAGCGCTTCCTGCAGATGACTTCATTGTGGCTTCTTATGTCCTTTTTTTCAATGCTGGGTGTGTGCAACTCTTGGTCTTGGGGCCGTGTGTGACCTGCTGCAACAGCATTTATCTTTCCTGATTGTTTTTCTTTTTCTTGGGCCCCACAGAAGAATTGGGACAGCATTGATGTGTACCTGTGTACATGCGCAGTAAGTCCATGYGCACTTCATTTGGTGTAACTGCACTGGTGCTGGCACCTGCATTGCTGTGTTGCTGCTTATGTTCCACTTGCCTGACTCAAGGGACAAGGCCCTGGGGCTCTGAAGTGCTTCCATAAAAAGTCCTGTTAGCTGGTTGGGCATCACAGATGCAAGGCCAAAATAGATATTTGTACATATGTGACCAGACAGGCGATACAAAAGGATCTTAAAGAAGTGTAAGTTAAAATGTCCGTACCTCTTACAGCTAGAAAATGTTGTAGAGAAGGGATGAGGAAAGGACAAAATAGATTGAGTTTCTTAATTTAAAAGCTTATATGGTTTTGGAAGTTTTTGAAACACCCATGTGTTTAACATACTATGCCTATCTGCAGGATAAGTTTTCTTGTAAGGAAAGGAAGCCAAGTCTGTGTCTGTATTTCAACAAGTTTGTCTTTACAAGTGCTCGAGTTCAACTAATAAACACATACCTTGCTTGTTAATCCTCCATGGTGCTGTCACCCACCTAAAGTGCAGAAAGAGAAACAGATTCAGTAACACAGCTGCATATGGGTGGCCTATCAAGGTCAAAATGGGCAGCCTGGAAAATAATTACACAGAAATRAAGGCTGATCATTGCCACAAATAGTAGCTGCTTTCTGCCGTTCAGTCCCCCATGTTTTAGGCCAATATAAAGAAGAATTGGGCATGTACACACCACTTCTTGAAACAAAAGTGCAGTAAAAGGGCGAATTATATTTGATATTTTTTAAAAGTCACAAAGTGTTACTCGTGTGACAAGACTGAGCATTGCACAAGAGGAACTGTTGGGTGAATTACTGTGCAGTTGTGTTTTATCAGTGCTGTTAATGGATGCGAAAGGCTTGTCTTAGGCACAGAGTGAATCTGCAGGAAGAGGTCTGGTGACTGACCCTGTATGTTGCTATGTAGGGAATTCCCTACACCCCATACTTGAGAATGAGTCACTGATCACAATTATTGCTTCCCACTTCACTGACATGTGACTGTTTCCCTGATTTGTATGAGGTTATTTTTGTCTCTGTTTCTGGGTGCCCTTCACAATGAGAGGGGTCACAATGTGACCCAAGTGAAAACTGTGGGCCATGCTCGTTCCTGGTGTAACTGCCTGCATTGACTCCTTTGAAGCCACATGGGATAAATTTGGCTCTCTTGGAAATGCCACAGCTTGTTTGCTGTCATATGTTTACTAAATGCAGCAGTGATATCAGTGGAATAGAAGAGGTTTGACTTATTTGAATTCTTGTAGTTCCACATGACCAAGTGAAGCATTGTTAAAAATGTTGCGTAAGTCTATTGCATAGATTTTTACAATAAGATGTCCCAAACCCCCAGTAATTCACTTCCATGCATTGAAAAGGAATGTCTTAAGATCATAAACATAGTGATGGAGAAAGTACTATAAAGTTATGTTGATTGAAGAGACTGAATTGCAGCATAATTGTTGGGATGGGGAAGGACGCAACAATTCAGTTCACAGTTTGAGAAGTGCTGGTAATAGGAGAACCAAACTAATTTTATCTTTTCTTTTTATTTTTTGTCTGTTTTGTMCTGAAATATCAGTATTTTTCATGTGTGTTTCAGAGAGCATGGGGAAGGCTCACACTTGAGATTCCTTTTTTCCCACCCCCTCTTACAGATTCACTGCCTATACAATCTTCCTTCTGAGYAGCTTTCATAGTGTTCTGAGAAGCAAGGCTAACAGTAAGAGCTTCTACCTGTATTTCAAGAAAGTCCATGAGAATGTGAAAGGTGTAGATGACAAGAAATTACACTGATGAATAGTTAAACACACTACTCATTTTGGGGTTTGATRTTTATCCACATATCTTGTAGGTAGCTGGCACTTCTATGTGTGCTGGTCCATTAGAGTAGCCTGGGAGCCAATGCTTTGGGCTAGTTTTTAAGTGGGTTAAATTCCCTGCAACTGCTGCAGGACCATGCAGTGGGATCTTGGGCAGGTGCTTCAGTCTCCACTCTCATCGTCAAAATACAACATGAAATAACTGTATACCCTTTCCAGTCCGTTGGTGTGATTTGCCTTTTACATAGTAAATTTCTTTTAGGAAATGAACTCCATCCTCTGCTGTGTTCACTGAGTACCCAACAAGTTGATTCATGTAGAGTTTTAGGTTTCATATAGAGTCATGTCCCTTTAACATGACGTGGTCTGAGTGCAATTTGAATTGAAGTAAAAACTGAAATATATCTAGCAATGTATTAAAGATGGAAGTGGAAGAGGATGTTCCAGGTTTTGGTTTTTACATTCTAGCAGCTCAGGGAACAATGACATGGTATTGGTGGAGAAGGACGTAGTAGGTAAATTCAACTCTGAGGAGTAACTCAATTCCAGGAAAGTCCTGTTAAGCCATTAAAAGCAGTCTTCAATTCTAAAATATCTTGTAGTTTTAGGGAACAGAACTTTACTTCCCTGTGGTTTTTTTTATTTCTCCAGCTATGGTACTTTTCTGTTCCTAAGTCAAATTATTCTTGAAGCAAATAAAAAGTTTCTTTTGTAGTTCTGTAGATGTATCATACATTWATGTTTGCTGATGGTCTGAAGAAGCAGTGAAAATCACCTTTACCMGTTACAAAATAATTTCAGAGAGTTTCCTGTTGTGGAGTCACCACATTCCTAACTTCCTCAGAGGATGAGAAATAAATGCAAATTTTAAAAGTAGAAATGTGGTATATATATGTCTGAGTCTCTTTTAAATACAAATAATGATAATATTGTCATCTTGGCAAATGAGTAATAAAAAAAAAGGCAGAAAATTGCTGCTATAAATTAAATGCCTGATTTCACATTGATTTGTTACACTTATCACCTGCCCTTAGCACATGCTTCTGTCATGACTGTAGGTTGCTGTTTCTCAGGGTTTGGATGTCTGTGACATGGGATGTTCTAAGTGTGAAATTTTTTAATTTAATTTAAC